GCTGTGTGTACATTAATGAGGAAAAAAAAATAACAAATGATTTTAGCAAATGGCTGCAATATAACAAAGAGTGAAAAATTTAAGGGGGTCTGAATACTTTCCGTACCCACTGTATATATATATTCTGTTTATGTAGGCTATATACTGTATTCTATTTACAGTACCAGTCAAAAGTTTGGACACACGAATGGGAAGTGTGTCCAAACTTTTGACTATACTGTACTATAATATAGCCTACACAAAGAATATAGGCCGATATATCGGTATAGGTCTTTTTTTACTCCCTAATATCGGTATCGGCCCCCAAAAACCCATATCGGTCGGGTTCTATTCCAAACTATACACTCAAATCTTCTGAAGATTGGTTTAGGGATCTGTTCAGTTTTAAATATCATTCAAATTATTTAGTGGGATTGGAAAACAGCAGTGGCAACTTGAAAACCAAAGATTATCGGTGATTTGAAAGCTTTTAGGAAGGGACTAATATTACAGGACATAGGTCTACAGCTGAGATACTGTATAGCTGTAAGCTTTTAATATAAATTAAAAGTGTATCTTAAGCTTAAAGCCTGAGAAAAACAAAAGAAAACCGAGCAGATTTTGGTCCATAAGCAAGAAGTTTATTTGATTGCATCTGAACAAAAGCAAAGCACAGTCCAGCCAGAGGGTGAACGCCCAGCGGCCTAACATAATCTCTTCCCTAAAATCCGCCGTCCCCTCTGGACCCAATGCCCGAGCAACACGATGCTCTACATAGAATTAGCCCCATTCCAATCTAATGGATAACACGTCTATTCAATGTAGGACGCAAAACGTAACGCAGCATAAAAAGATTCAATTCCCCCAGCTTTCTGCATCCAATTTGAATGTTCCTTTTTTCCTGTCCTCTTCTTCTGATGCATCTTATAAAAAACGACTAAATTTCAGAACGGTCGTTTCCCGAGGCCTCTAAACAATAGCCTCGCAGCAGTGCGCTGGATAGATGCCACCACACACACATTCAATGCAGGACACATAATCTCCTCGCGGTGATAGCAGAACATTCTGGACCGGAGGGAAGCTGTTCATCCACGGCAGCAGACTGTCATCTAACAAATACAGCAGGCAGCGATGATGGCTTTTATATGAAGTGAAGTAAACAAGCGAGAGCCCTGCAGGAGATTGCCGTGAGCTCTTTCCGATGACACATGTAAACAGAATATTTATCAATGATCTGAGAAACAGTGATTGTAGCTGCAGGAAAACATGGAAATAGAGCCTGTCCTTTGACCTTAATTGAATGGCTTTGGATGGTAGAGCTTTATGTAAAATGACATCACGGAATAAACTTATCATGTGCACAAGTTGACAGGCATGTTATTGCTTAGAATATAACCATGTTAGTATTAAACGACATTTAATTAAGCAATAAGCAACAACAAGGGCTACACATGTGTGTGTGTGTGTGTATATATATATATATATATATATATATACACATACATACAGGGCTGTGAAAATTGTTTGGCCCCTTCCTGTTTTTTTTTTTTGCATATTTGACACAGTTGAATGATTCAGATCATCAAACTAATTGCAATATTACACAAAGATAAGAGTAAATACAAAATGCAGTTTTGAAATAATGGTTTCATTTATTAAGGGAAAAAAGCTGTCCAAACCTGCCTGGCACTACGTGAAAAAGTAATTGACCCCTAAATTACCAGCTAAATGACATTTCTTGGTGACAAGTCAGCAGAATTTACAACTTTAATGTAGAATACTTCACAGAAATCCAAAAGCTTTGTTTGCGAGTCATAAAAGTCAGTGTACAAAATCAACAAAACATTTTCAGCAATGCAGTACTATCCTGAATAGACAAAAGGCAGTCCCATCAAAAAGACCAAAATGTTCTCACACATTATTTTTGAATAGTTTAGCATATTTTAATTATAATGACACATTTAATTGCTGGTATTTTTGTTCACATTTTATTTTTTAATAATGAACCTACAGGACGAGCATATAGGCTTATGTATTTATTTATTTATTTATTTATTTATAAATGATATGATAACAGATGAACAGAGACTGTGCATCACTTTTCATGTTCAACACCAGACCCCGCAGTGAGTTTTGGCGCTCTTTAATGTGGCATGATAGATCGCTGTAGACACCTCAGCTCAAGCGAAGCGGCAGCACAAAGTGGCTTCGCTTCACTAGTGGGCAGAGCCGATCCTCCCTATACGCAAAATACACAAGTTGCGTAGGGCCCACGAAACACCAGGGGGCCCCCTTGCTCTCAAAGATGATTTAATTTTATTTCTTGCTCGAGACTAAAAAAACGAGTTGAAAGCGTACCGAGCCGTGGAAGAGACACTGTTTCTCAATCGCTTTACGCAAGCGCGATTCGAGACGGAGTGAAACACGGACAAATGCGTTTCATTCATTCGTTCATAACCACGTAGGGCGTAGGGCCCCCAGAAGTCTAGGATCGGCTCTGCTAGTGGGTACTCGCCTGTGCCATAAAATAATTTAACGCAATTAACGCAAAATTACTGAAGCACAATTTCTATTCTAACCCTTTAACCCAATTTTGCTTCTCTGCTTGCGATCAGATCATTTTAAGCTGCTAAACTCCGTCCAATGATCCGTCCATTTTAGTCCAATGATCCAGTAAGTGAATGCATTCAAACAATCCGTCCAAAACAGCGATAATATAAAGGAAATCAGGCTGATTACATCAGAGATTGCAGAGAGAACAGAGACTCGCATTGCGTTTTAAGTGAATTATTTTTGCTGTTGCACTGTACACATACTATAAAATTCAGATTTTGTTTTTCTTTCATATGTGCTCATATGGGCTCTTCTTTGGTGTCCTTTTGGAGTTTCTAAGTGTCCTTTTTTGGAAAGACATCTAAATTTATCTTGAAACAAGCTTGCAGAAAATACAGATTTTAATCACAGAAAAAGGATGTGATTAATCAGATTAAAAAATGTTACCGATTGACAGCCCTAATATATATATAAAATAAAAGCAAATTCAAAACATTGAAAAAGATTATGGACACGCTTTCATACAATTTACCAAAAGTTAAGATTCAATTCGATTAAACAGAATATATAGTGTAAGAAAATGTGCAAAGAATAAAAGAAGAACAGAACAGTCTTTCTTGTCTAATTGGAGTGCTGTATCCACCTCCACACTGATGTCGTGTATCTTACAGTGCTTGAAGCTCTCAAAGGACAGAAGAAACATTGTGCTGGAGACTTGAGTGCACATGTTCATCCTTCCTACACCAAACACAGCCCACCACTTCATCAACATGCAGGTCTTCATCTCATCAACTTACATCAAGGCATGTGAAGAAATGAGAACACCCGAGTCCCCACTTTCCCATCAAGTCGATTTTCACACGGGCCGAACGCCTGACCCACCGCTCTCAATCCTCTCCGCTCTGAGGAGACCCACACCTGGATTAATGCTGTTCAGACCCAGAATGTTAATTTTCATACTTAAATGAGAACGACTAATGGAGATTGAAGTGAACTTCAGCATTGTCTTAGCAGATGGAGAATCGTATTTACCAGAGAACGATTCTCTTGACGCGCTGATTCGGATTTAATTGAGATTAGCTGTGTGCAATTATTTTCTATCAAACAATTTAGCTAAATTAATTTCATAGTGGAAAAGGAACGTGCTTTGGCAAATTCCGATATAAAAAAATTAATAAACACAATTTAAACAAAGCACAGAGATGAAAAAGTGAGGTTTAGTACTAATTAACCATCCGATGTGAGGTCAAACCAACCTTTCTTGTTCTACAAGGATGATTGCAACTGGCAGAAAATGCGAAAATTGGTTCGGAAGGAAGAGAAAACTCCTCGGAGAGTAATTAATGATTTTCGTGATCCTGCCTTGAAGGTGGAACTTTCTAAATTGCATCTCTAATCAGTATAAGCACTGTTTGTGTCAGCAATAACTGCCATCAAATTAGCAGTTCTATCATCATTAGAGCTCTTTCCCATGATGTCTGTGACACTGATAGAGATCAAGGCCAAAAGGCTATTTTAACCACACTGTGTCATTGAAGATGATCTTTTTTAATCAGTCTGGCTTTAAAAAGATGGAATAAGTGAGTAAAGGTGCAAAAAAGGAGAAAAATAAGCAAGTGACATTGAAATGAATCATTTGAACAAACGTGTTTAGCGATTAAAGCTACTGCAAGAGACTAAAAAGTGTGAAAGTCACTGCTAAAAGTGTTTGTTATGGTTGCCAGAGTTCACCCTCTACGTATTTCATATCATTTCTTGTTTTGTTTTGTTTGTTTCTACATGACTACATGAAAATGTTGCTAACAAAGATTTTTCAAATGAGTTTTTATGCACACTACTGCTCAAAAATTTGGGTTTGGCAAGTTTTTTTTTTTTTTTTTAAATAACCACAAAGACTGCATTTATTTATGCATTACATTCTATTGCATTTTAATATATTTTAAAATGTAATTTATTCCTGTGATGCAAAGCTGAATTTTCAGTGTCACATGATCCTTCAGACATCATTTTAATATGCTGATTTGCTGCTCAAAAAACATTTCTTCTTATTATCAAAGTTAAAACAGTTGTGCTTAATTTTATTGTATTTTGAATGAAAGTTCAAAGGAAAAATATTTATTTGAAATAGGATTGTTTTGTAAGAAAGAAAGAACGATTAGTGTATGTGTATTTTTTATGTGTATTTTTTCTAGGACAAGTAATATAAAAAATGATGCCAAAGTTATCTTTTCAAGAATGTCTTTTTTTTTAATAAGGCATGTTTCTGTCATTCATTCATTCATAAATAAATAAATTGTATATATTTCAAGTGTTAGCAGGTTTCATTTACAGCGGGCAAGAGTGAACCGATGTTAATCTTGAACTGTTCTTTCTTTCCGATATTACTATCCTCTGTTGTGCCGTGACTTGCGTAGGTGATGTTCGATGAGCATGTGGACGAAAAGGCAACCTCAAAGCAAGCAAACCGCTCAAAGGTAAAAGCGACCTTTCCTCGACCTTCCAGAGGCTGATGATCCGTGTATCTGCAGACACAGCAGACCTTTTGTACCGCACTTTGTGCTGGGCTCAATGCTGCCCTTGAGGAACTTCACAAGCACAACTTGTTTTGTGTCCGATTTTTCAGCAGCAATTACTTTAATCGACAGAATAAGCTGAGAAAAAAAATGTAGGGGTTATGAGAAAACGCAGTGAAAAGAGATCTAGGAAAAATAAATTCACAACAGCCTTAACAACACTATTAGGAGCAAAACATACTCTACTAAAATGCCAGCGAAAAGTAATTTAGGTTGGAAACTAAGTGAGCTGTATGACCTTGTTGATTCAGTAAGTTGCCCCTCTCTTTGCAAACTCCATATCACTCGATTTGAAAAAAGAAGAAATGTGCTCTACCTCGTGCTGGAGTCTTTCAGTGGTGCCAATTATCCAATAATCCTAAAGCAAACTCAAAGATTCAGTCCAGAAAACCACAGCCTAAAACAGCACTCTTAAATACACAGTGGAAACGTGCAGAGTGCATTCTCGCGTGCTTTAAAGTTGTAATTCGCTGCAGAATGAGCCGTGCTAAATATCTGCTTCAAGACCTGTGGACAAAACGTACCTTCTGTGCTTTCATGTAAAGGCCCCTGGGAGCCACGGAAGGTCTCGAGATCTACTACTAAGGTCTACTTTTGTACTTGTTTCATAAAGCTGCCATTGTAAAGAAAGAGGAATCTATCTTCAGACTGTAAGGGGATTTGAGGAGTCTTAAATGGTGAAGACAATAATGACTACAGCCACTGGAAGAGAGCAGAGGGAATTCATGGAGCGGCTAAAAGGAACGATTCCATGAGGCTAGAAACAGGGTGAAGAGGTCAGGGAAAATACGTGAAAACTAGCCTTTCATTTTAAGGAGACAATTTGTTTTGTTTTGTTTTTTCAAAATATCTCTTTCATGTTCCGAAGAAGAAACAAGTAGAAAGTTTGGAATGGCATGAAGGTGAGTAAATGATGCCAGAAAACCTTTACAGAACATGACAACAATCAAACCAAGCACATTAGAAAGCACTATTTTACGGTGTCGATTTTTACAGCAAGAAAAGATTTTTCAGGGAGAAAAAAAAGCATAAAAGTCCATCACTAAATTAGCCATCAGTGAGCCTAAAGTAGATGAAAATGAGAAATTAGAGCAAATTAGATCATGTGAATCTATATGAACTAGCTACCAATTCACCAGAAGTGTGTTGCAATAAAACACTTCATCACTGTGAAAATGGTCTGACCAAGTAAAAATTAATAACATATTTTCCTTACTACTTCAACAGATATGCATGTATCTTAATTTTAATCATTATTTCTCATCTTAATCATTTTTTGTCAAAAGAATGAATGAATGAATAAATAAATAAATAATAATAATACTAGTACAGTACAGTGATACTATAATAATACAGAAAAAAACACTGATATTTCATAATTATTTCATGATGTATGTCAAAGTACTTTTATCTAGATGATAGATAGATAGATAGATAGATAGTAGGGGTGGGAATCACCAGAGGCCTCACGATACGATATTATCACGATACTTGTGTCACGATACAATATTATTGCGATTTTAAATATATTGCGATATTCTACGATATATTGCAATTTATTACCTTTTTCCAACTTCAAATTATGTCCCCTAAGGAAAACTTTGACATCTGTTTTACCTAAAAAGAAACATTATTCAGTTTGTTTATCTCACTTCAGTTGTATTGTTGCAGTGCAAAATAGGATTGTCAAGCAGACAAACTGACCAACACTTTCATGAAAACCTGTCATAAATGTTGTATGCACCTGGCAAACTCAACTATTTGTATTGCAGTCTAGTCTAGTCCACCTTAATTAAATGTAAACAGGTATGCACTGCTGTGCTACTACAGGTATTTTGGAGTAACCAAAAATGCTTTGTAATGATTATTTATTATTTTATTAAATAATATAAAGTAATTTTGTAAGACTTTTTCAATTTAACTCAATTTTAATGATACTGGATTTAAAAAAACACAAGCCAATAAAATAACCCCACACTTTTACTGAAAGTAACACAATAAAACTGGACAGAATTTATATTAATATTGGTAACACTTTACAATAAGTTTCATTAGTTAATTACTTTAGTGAATGAACTAAGAATGAACAATAGTTCTTCAGCATTTACTAATCTTATTTCATGTTAATTTCAAAATGTACTAATGCATTATTAAAATCAACAGTTGTGCTTAACAGTTAATGCACTCGGAATTAACATGAACTAACAGTGAATAACTGTATTCTCATTAACTAACATTAAGAAAGATTAATAAATACTGTAATAAATGTATTGTTCATTGTTCGTTCATGATAGTTAATACATTAACTAACATTAACTAATGGAACCTTATTGAAAAGTGTTACCTTAATATTAAATATCAATATATTATTTGTATTCACTTCTACACTGTAAAATCTAATTAGTTAGGCTTACTTAAAAAAAGCATTCAAACCGACTGCCTTGAAAAAACTAAGTAAAGTGAAATAGGAATAGTATGTTGTACTGACAAATGCTTAGTTAGTATAGTTTACTTACACGAGAGTTCTAGTAACTAAAAAAGAACTGTAGGGGGTACTTGATCCTTTCATTTAGGTTTACTCATGACTTAGTATAGTTACTCGCTGACTCCCAGAGTGCATTGCTGCATGAATAAATTATGCAGTTGCTTTGTTTTACAGTTGATTTTATTTGCCTCTTTATTTTACTAACTTACTGCATGCTGAAGGTGACCCAGCTGCCCTTACCAGAAAAAAAACTCAACACCACCATCTAGTGGATTGTAAAGAAATTGATTTTATTATTCTACCAAATAGTATAATAAAAGATCGATACTTGGCGTCCGTGTATCGATACAGTATTGCCGCGGAAAATATCGCGATACTATGCTGTATCGATTTTTCCCCCCTCACCCCTAATAGATAGATAGATAGATGTTAGCTGCATGCAAATTTTATTTATTTTTTTGCAAATTTTGAGGTTTTTTTTTTTACTATTAAGCAGTTTTGTTAAAATATTATGTGTATATGATATAATAGTGAAAGACTATTATAAATAACTTGGAGTTTTGTTTAGTTTTTTGACAAAAAATTTAAGTTAATAACAGAAGTGTATTAAACTTTTTTTTTTTCAAGATAAAGTGTTTTTATTATTTTTGTTAATATTGTTTCTAATTGAAAATGTTTGAAAAAGTGTTTGTATTTGGATGCTTTGTGTTGAACTAATAAGTAAACTAATAATAAATAAATAAATAAATTGTTTATTAATTAATAATAGTGAAATATTATTGTAAATAACTTACAGTAAATATTTTTGACAAGAATTATATCCTTTTTATGCTTTTTCTTCATCATATCACAGCAGTTGTATTAACCTGACATTTGTGAATTTGTGGGGGGAAAAAAAAATCTAAATGCATTTTTATTTTATTTTAAAACACAAAAAGTTCATAATAGAAGAAGTGTATGAAAATAAAGCAATTAACATTCACTCAATGACCCCTGCAAGGGGACCAGCAAGACTTCCTTGGTCAACTTGCATCACTAGAAAGAGCATTCCTCCAGCTCTCAGTAGGGAAAAAGACATGTAGCATTGCAATAAGAATGACATTGTTTCACATTTCACATAAAATCAAGCTTCTGTTGCTAGTGTAGAAGAAGGTCCTTAACTCTAATGGTCTTGTTCACATACCGTCTTCATCAGAAGGCAGGGTCTGTTTCCTTGGTTTATCAAAATTCTTCCTACAGGGTAAAAACTGGTGCAAAAAGGCCATGGGACTCAGAGTTTTAAGAAACGCTGTTTAATGCATTGCAGGAAGTACTGAACTCCATGTTTAATCATTTAATTTTGAATAATGTATTTGCAGGTGAAGACAGCATGTCGAGTTATTACAATCTCTCAAATTAATAACCGAAAATGTTGCGGCTCTCTGCCTGGAGGATATTCATATTGCGTTATAGTTGATGAAATTAATATTGTTTTTAATATTGTTTGTGTACGTGCGTCTGTACGTCGGGCACCAGCGGGTTGTCACCAGGCAGAGCATCCGTCTCTTGTGCAAAATTAAAGCCGCCGCATACCCACAAGGCATCTCGACTGAGCAAATACAATAATTTAATTTAGCTTTCAATTACACATGCATTCCGACTTTCTTCTACCGTTTAATTAAACTTGTAAACCGCGGCGGCAAACAACCTTGACTATATCAAATTAGATCCATTACATACAGCAATATGATGATGAAAGAGAAGCGGCAAAGAAAGATATCGAACATCTTGAAAACATACAAAAAAAGCAAATATCCATAAAATGATATTCATGACAGCAAAATGCAGTTTAATATAGTTCAATCTCTCCAATTGTGATCTAAATTGAAATATCGCACACTTCACAGATTTTACCGCCATATAAATGAAACCCTGCCCCCCACTGCAGGACAATAATAAAGCTAATTTATCCAATTCAAAGGCAAAAAAAAAAACTCATGTTCGTTTATTGACTGCAGAAACATTGAGTGGCCAACTGCGGATCCAAATCATGTAGACACCACAAAGCATTTAATGTAGGAGAACAAGCATCAATAATTAAAGTGCTGTTGTAAATTTTCACAGCATTTGACTGGGCATTATGATGAGTGAGTGGGAAAGGGGCTGCTGGGAGGCCGGGCTGGATTTTTGGCTCGGTGTCATATTTTCCCAGTGTGAGAGTAGTTACAACTCTCAACCACACTCTCTTTCCTCTGTAATTGTCTGTTGGCAAACTTCGTTTCCATATCCTGCTATGCTTCCAGCCCTTGAAGCTCTCTCTCTCTCTCTCTCTCTCTCTCTCTCACACACACACACACGCACACACACACACACACACACACACACACACCCCTCCCCAGCAGCCTGGAACAGGCTTAGGGATCAGAGACAATGACGGTGACAGGTGTTTTCATGCACAAAGCGTGTGTGACTGGGCGTCTCTTAGGCAATTAACGGGCGCAGGCCACATTTCCACAATACGGCCGAACACGCGGCTAATCTCAGGGACGCAAAGGAAGCTCCTTTCTCATCGTGACAAACGCAACCTTGACATTTATAGCATTTTGCAACAGAC